ATCCCTTGTATATTTAAATTTAGTAAATGTGTTAGAGCGACTCTGACAGCTGATTGCTTGACAATCCGCGGTTTTCCCTTCCTACCTTTCTTCGTATACTTTTGCTGTATATTTCTTACCGCCAAATTTTCCCTCTAATCGCATTTTTCGCGGCGTCCTTTTTTCTTAGCCAATAATATTTAAATTGTTTTGGTAAGGACAGAGCGATTTCTCTCTTTCTAATTCCGTTGTAACGTATACAGGGAACAATGCCATTGTTCAGCTGTCAATCATTTCTCAATTATTACTGTAATTTCTTTAAATCTTTAATATCTTAAAAAATAATAATTTGACAAAAATTTTACCTTTACCATTAATTTTTAAATAATTTTTACTTTTATTTAACATATAATTTTTGTTTTAATATTATTATTTTAAGCAATTAAATAAAATAATTTACATTATTTTATGTAAAAAAATGAAAAATATCGTTAATTAATTTAATAATAGTCTATATTTATTTTTAATACTGTTAATAAAAAAATATTTAAATTTGAATTAAATTAATAATTTCTTTATATTCGAAATTATATCTTTCGTCTCTTACTATTATTTTTCCTTATGTATTCTTATATGGTGTTATCTATGAATGTCTTCTGTCTCTTTCTATTATTTCTAAAATTCTATTTCTCTAGATTTAAATTCATTTCTTAATATTTCTTTTCTTTGATTTTTATTAATAATTTATTTATAACTTTTTTCTTTTAAAATAATTAGTTAATTTTTTATAATAATTTTGCAAAATAAAATAATTTTTAATTATTTAGTTTATTGGTATTTAAGATAATGTAAAGGGGTGTTTTGTTTATTTATTATTAATTATTTAATATAATATTTAAACATTGGATTTATTTTATCTATGCATTTTATATTTTTGGGATTTCTATATTAGTGTATAGTTTAGACAATCATATACACACACATGTATATATATACTCATTCTCCTGAGTGCAAGTGTACTCATGAAAACAGTATTTTTCTTTCTTATATTTTTCTTTACCCAAATATATATATATATATATATCTATACCAAAATGTGACATTATATTTTTGAAATTAAATGGTACTCTATTTTTTTCTTTACTTGCATTTAAATGAATATAATCTATTGACTATTGGAATAACTCTTCAGGACGGTAGTGTAGAAACCAGTTTTTCTGCTGAAATAGAAAATGTGGAATCTACTACGTGGAAAGAGATTTGATTCCAAGAATTTCTAATTCTATTGTCCCTATTGTATATAAATCTTCCCAACAAACTTTTTTAATACACGTTACGTCTTTTGTATTTACTGGCGCATCAGGTCACAATACTGTAGCTTTTATGATATTTATTTTAGCCTCATTATCTTCAAAAAATAGAGCTTTACCGTCCATTTAATAGAATATGAGTATAGCAGAAGTCTCATTGGACATAATTTAACTTTTGTGTCATAGATTCTCATCCCTGCTATTTTAAATTATATTTCAATATAAAGGTCAGGTGAATTTTCTGTTCAGTGACATTTTTGTTAAATAAAAATTCTGTCCAATCGAATTTCTGTTTAGAAAGAAGTCTGCTCTTTGAATCATCAGCTATGTAAATATTCTGTCCAATGAAGTTTCTGTTATATGAAATTTAGGGGATTTTTATGCGTCTGATTATTATTTGTATGTATTTATCCATGTCATTCATAGAAGTTATTGGCTTCACTGCTTCAACGAAATTTCTTGACTGTAATTTTTAAATTATTTCTCTCTATTATTTCATTATTAAAATCCAAACTTCAAATTACTTTACCTCATTAAGTTAATCAAATCGACACAAACTAAACTGACTAACTGAACATGCAAAACTTCATAAACCAAACTTAACTGAATTTTGTTGGGCGCCAGGTTTCAAAAGAAACGGTCGTATCAACGAACGTAATAAAACTTTAGAAAGAGAGAGAATTTTTTATAATTTACTGAATTCGCGGCTATTCAAACAACTTGATAGGAGATGGGGGGGGTTCATTTAAGTGTCAGTGAGTTAGCACATTTTCTTTTTTTGAGCGATTTTTTGCAATTTTTTGCAATTTTGTATATTTTTACGCTAATAGCATATAAAATACTTTACTATTTTAAATCTCAGCTAAAAAAAAATTTTTTTTTATAAATTTATGGCGATATTCAATATCCCTCATATCCTTCTTATTATATTAAGTTCTAAAACGACCGACACCGACCGACACCAAAACCAACTTTTTCGTTTTCTTTCTGAAATTATTTAAAGTTTTCCTTTAAATTTTGAAATCACATGCCTTACATACATGTCTATTTAAAAAAAAAGCAAAATTTTTCTGCTCTATTTTTTGAAATTTTGAATATTTTTACGCTAATAGCATATAAAATACTTTACTATTTTAAATCTCAGCTAAAAAATAATTTTTTCCAGGAAGTTATGGCGATATTCAATTTTAATTTTTTAAAACTAATAGTATAAGTTCTGTTAATCAAGATGAGGAAGCTAAATATTTTCATTAAATGAACCACTTTTTTAATGTGTTGAAATCATGGAATTGTGTTATAAATTGTTATTTAAATAATCAGGAAGATTAAAAAAAATTTAATTTAATATAACCGTGGAATATTTCTTCCATATCACTGGAATATTCCCTTAATATTTCTTGGATATATATATATATTTTTTTGGTTTTCTTAGAAAATCATTGGAATATTCCACGGTGATATTCAAGGGATGTTGAGGGGATACACCGTGCTGCTTGGGTTCCTTTATTATATAATATTAAAAAATGGAAATGGAAAATGAAAAAATGTTAATAATTTCATGCATGACTGTAATTATGGCGTCGCAAATGACTTTGACACAAATAAGACTTCTTATGATTTAAGAATTTAATTATTATTTAACAATAATAATTTAAAATTTGATATATGTTTATTTTTTTCGATATAATGAATCAATAAATCTTGTTTTTTGAATTGATGTTTCATGTTTATATTCATTACCGAGTGAGCGTCAGCGAGCGAGGAATATATCGCTAGTTTCAATTAATTTGAATAAATATTTTCGCTATAACAGAACATCCATTTTTAATTTTTAAAAATTTACATTGAACTCGTGATCGACGTTAAAAAACCCTGATTAATATAAGTTTTAAAAGAATTCGATGAATTTGAAAAAAAAATTCCGCTATATTGGGTAAACTATTAAAAATTTTTAAAAAATGACTTCATATTGGTTAATCGTACCGACAATTTCCGACGGTAGTGTATGTCCGAGATATTGGACTGAAAACATATAGTACACGTGATACATTTATATGATAGAGGGGGATCTTACTATCCTTATCATGAAATCAGTAGATATACTGAATATAGAATATTCTATCCACCACTACCTGAGTAATAATAAAGTTATTTTATTCCCTTCAACAGAGAAAGATAGAAACTCTGCTATACCTGAATTTTTGAGCGTGAACCCTTATTGAAAAAGGTAAGAAGGGTCATCGAAAGTTTTACAACTCTTAATTAATAAAGGTAATAAAAGTTTTTCCAAATCCTTTCAAATGCGTTATAAAACATAGGCGCTATAAATAGTTCTCAATTTGACACCTAACTCGCGGCAAAATGCATAACTCATAGCACTTGCTTGTTTTCTCTTTTTCCATACAAGGAAGTCTTTAAACTTTTTAGCAAAATTCAAACGGTAATTCATTCTAAATATCCTTCACAACCAATGTCAACAAAAAAATTTAGAGTTTTTGGTCTATATAGTGCTAAATATAGAGCAGCGCTATGTTACGCCGGCGCTTAACGGAATCCCATTGCAGGTGTTGTTTTCGATTTTTGTCATCATAGATTTGAATTTGTCAGCCACGAAATTATAGATTTTTGGAGATTTCGAATATAACAATAGTCCTGGAGTGTTATTTCGTCGTTAAGCCCTTCACTGTCACTGATCGCTATAACAGCACAGAAAAGCCGTGCCTTGTATGTCTATGACCGCTGTAGCGGCATCGAAAAAAAGAACATTTTAAAGTTAACAAATAGGACTGAAAATGGTTACTCGTGAGTTTTCGGGGTCGCTGAATCCAAATCTTACGTCGAAAATAAAAAATTCAAAATAGCGGCTTCAAACTGGCGACTAAAAAAATTTTGAAGGTAACGAATCTGGCAGAAAATGGTTTCTCGGGGGTTTTTGGGGTCGATGAATCAGAATTTTTAGTCGAAAATAAAAAATTTTAAATGGCGACTAGAAAATGGCCACCAGAAAATTAAATATTTTCAGCCAGATTCGTTAACTTTTAAATTTTTTGGTCGTTATTTTGTAGCCGCTATTTTGAATTTTTTATTTTCGACCAAAAATTCGAATTCAGCTACCCCAAAAACATACAACATGATGTTTTGTTTTAAAAAAAAAATTTTTTTTGAAAATTTATTTCACGAAAACTTTTTTTTCACTGGACTGTGAAGGGGTTAATCACGTTCTCCAGGCAACTGTTATTATTTTTAAATAAACTCGAAGATTAGTAAGTTTTGTGTAATATTGTCACATAGTTAAGGTTGTAGTCATCTTATATAGTAACGTTGTAGTCAACTTACGGGGTAAACTTATTGTCAACTAATATTGTAAGCTTGCTGTAAGGATATTCTAAGCTTGGTGTATGTTATTGTACCATCGTAAGTTTACTACAGTCTTACGATGTTATCTTAGAATCAATATAGTTAATAATAGAATAACCTTACAGCAATATATTGTGCTGTGTGTGCTGTCACATACAAATTCAAGGCCTTTCATTTCCTCTTTTCATACATACGTATGATCAGGGAAAGGAAAATGTCCACTCAGGAAAACCTAATTATTTCCAAAAGTCCACTTGAGGAGAATCTACTCTATTTCTTTACAAATAATAAAAAAAGTGTACTTTAATTTTACAAAGGGTCGCAAAGTTCATTATTATTCTGTTTTTGTTACAGGAGCACTAAACATCAACTTCAATCTCTAACTGGTGTTTAAAACTAATGAAGATATATGAAAAAATCTATTCTATGACACTGAATAAAAAAGTTTGACATATATTATTAATATAAATGTATTTAATAAAAATAAAAAGATGTTCATTGAAACATCTCAAAATCTAATACATACAAAATGGTCCTTTTAATTAATTCTGTTTACTCCGATTTGAAATAAATCGCACCACAATCGGTATTTATTGTTTTCTATAAACTCCATTTCAATTAAGCTTATTCTTATGTTATAATAGTGATTAATCTACATTTTTTTTATATTTGTAAATAATCACATATTTCATCCAATTTTAATAAATAATGACTTATTTCATCCACTGAGTGATCATATATTATACATTTCTTTGAATTTTGTTAATAATCATTTGTTTAAGTATAAATTCTCTCAGTTTTACCATTACCTAATATTTTGTATAGGTTAAGTTTATTTTTGTTCAAACTATAAAAATATAAAATTTTAAACTTTTTATTAAGGATTAGTAAATATAAAGTACGTTGAACTAATTTAACCCTTTTCCAACCCTCCTTCCACATCTAACTTGCTATATCTACTTTAACCCAATTTTTTTACAGGTTGTAAGTTAAAAAAGAACTATATTTGAAAGAATATGAATGAAAGAAAATATTATTTTAATTTCGATAATGCAGAAAAATAAAATATCTCCAATTTTTGTTAATAAAAGCATAAGTATACAAATATTATAAATATAATATACTTAAATTATAGTAGGGGTGATGTATTCAGTTTGAGACGGGTTTTGGTTTCAAATGCAGTTCAAAAAGTATTACCCAGGGCTTCCTCTAGCAGATTTGGAACACCGAACAAACACTGAATTTGGTGTTGACTCTGTGATCTGTTAATAAAAAGATAAAATGAATAAAAAACACATGCATCTCAATTTTATATGATTTTAGATGTATTAATGAATAAATACTGTGTTCGTTCGGTGTTGGTTAAAAAATATGAATAATATTACGTAAAATAAGACATATTGGCACTGCACTTATTTTATACTTGTAGACTATTATATATTTAATTTTATTTTGCATAAAAAATTACATATTTTACTATTTTTAATATAAAAATAGTAAAATATGTAATAAATGTCAAAATCACTGCACATAATACGCGAGAAATCTGTCGGTAATCGACTAAAAGCAAAGAATACAACATCAGCGCCAGGTGGTAACTTACCACTTACCATACCGCAACGACTAGCTATCGCGCCGCCTTTTCGTCCGCCAGGTGGAGTTGTGCATTCTTCTAGGTATCAGTTAAAAAAATGTAAATAGAAACTGACATGTGATGAAGCAAGAATGTTTATAGAATGCGTTTTTCTCTGTTCTTCTAACAGATAGCAAATAATATTATATAAGAAATTTGTTTGATTTCTGTTTAATATTTTAAATATGCAGTAAAAAAGTAAATTAGTAATATGCAATATAATAAGTAACTACAATGGAAGCATCTAAAAAATAAATTGAAAAGTGTGTTATTTCAAAACAAAATTAAAAATTTTTTTTGTTCCAGTTGTTGTCGCCGTAAGAAACAACTAATAATATTATTTTTGTAAGTTGGTTACCCAACTGAAAGCCAACTCTACTTTAATTATTTAACAAGCAAAGTATAAAAACTTTGAGATAATCAATCCTTCCGAAGCTTCACTGAGTCTTTTTGTAAGACAATATACTAATCGTGCTATCACTTTGATTAGCGACTAATAATTAATCTAACCATAACTGCTTATGTATTAGTCTTAAAGGACTGTGCAATAGTCCCCACTCTTTACAATACACACTCATACTTCATACTGTCGACACCTCCATCCTTTAAACTATAAATGATTTTCAAATTAACATTTATTTAAAAATTTTATGCAGGTTTACTTTTAGGAGGTTTCGAATTGAAGCATTCATAAGCTCTCAGTCCGGGGATTATTAATATATTATGTAATTTCTAATTCTTATTTAATTAAATTTATGTGACACATCGATTCTGAAAAGCAAACGAGTTCAAACATGTGGCCGATAGATTGTAAACATAAATGTTTAGGGAAGTATCACCTACATTTTATTATCTTTAATACAAAAGAAACAATGGTATTGTCAAAATTTAAAGGGACTTTATATTCTTAATTTCTATTATTCAATATAATGAGACACGTGCTAACTATATCATCAGATAAGATTGTAAACGTGTAGTGAAATTTATGAATGAAAATACGTTAGTATTTATCTTTTTTTTTGCTTTTCCAAATTCTATATTATACTTATATATATCAATATTCTTTCTCTTTTATTTTTAAATTATTATTCGCTTTTCAAACTAAATTAGAGGAATCTTTCCAATAATTATTTAGTTTTTTATCTTTTGTTATTAACTTTTCAAAATTCTTTTACTTGTTTAAACAATTGATTGTTTATCGTTTCAAAGAATTTGATGCTAAGAAAATAATAATAAATAAAAGAATTAATTATTTTTATTTGAGTAATGTAAATAAACAATATATCTGACAATATAGTTTTTCTTTGTTTATATAAACGATTGTGAGTCTTTCCTCATTAATTCTCTCAATTCTGAATAGAATAAAACTTACTTTGAACTTAATAATTATAAATAAATAAAAATAAATTTAAACACACCTTGATTTTGTGATAATCTCACAATTAAAAAGCGATTTGCAATTTGTTTATGTAGTTTTTGAAATCTACAAAAAAAAATATAAAATAAATTATTTTAACAGGGTTATAAAATTTTACCTAACAAAACTTTAAGGGTTAGTTTCTCCTAACTCTATTTCTAAATTTTCAATTCTTGGTATAAAAAAAATTAAACTTTAATGACTCATCATAGTTCAACAATACATTGTCAAACCATAATGTTTACATTAAACTTCAATAGATTTATCTCTGAAAACCCCTACTAGATAATTAATTTGAATAAATTAATTACATCCTATTCTAGCTATTTCTTGGGCTCGTCACGGTCATCTCTATAGTTTAATCTTTCAAATTGTCATGTGGATCGCCTATTGCAATGTACATGGCATATAAGAATATTAAACAAGAATTACGATTTATCTTTTTAACCACTCTTGGACAATCAATGGTGTTGGTAGAGATCGTTAGAAAGCCCCTGACCATTGATTTTCCGTGGCTTGACTTTGAAGATTTATTTGTTGGTATGATTTTGTTGTTTTGTCAAATAATAATTTATTCTATTGCAGATTTGGAATGTCTGTCGTGTTGGTAGAAATCTTTCGAGAGCTCCTGACAACAGACCTTCCTCTTAAGCAATTTTTTTATTGTTAATTTAGGAAGGACCAATCGTATTGGTAGAAATCGTTAGAGAGCCCCTAACAATTTGTCTCCCAAAATCAACAATTATTAAATAAATTTTATTTTTAATTTCGATTTAGTCCTTTTTATCTTTCTCGCCCAGAGATGCAGATTGCTTAGGTAGAGATCGTTAGAAAGCCCCCAACAATCTGCATTTCTCAAGTTTGAAAGACTTGACTTTGTAGATTATATAGTTCTGAAATTTCTTTATAATAAAATATAGAAGAAAGCTTTTACCAGTTTAAACTGTTCAGATAAAAGAGACAGAAACACGCATTTACTTGGCTTATATAGTTGCGTCCCTACCCTTAATTTTCTGGGGTAAGTAAAATTCAAAATGTGCGAGTGTATGAGTAAGGAATTTCAAATTGATTGAGCGAAAATCCGCGAGTTTCCCTCACCACTTTACGCTGGACGCTTCTCCCATGTATTTCTTACCGCCAATTTCTCCCTCTATTTGGATTTTTCGCGGCGCACAGTGGAGCAGGGAAGCTTATTTCGCGCTATAAAATCAAATATTTGTCAAATCGGGCTGAAAATGTATACTCGGGGATTTTTGGGGTCGCTGATTACGAATCCGGTTTCACTTTTAAGAAAAAAAAATGGCCGACCCAAAATGGCGGATAAATTTTTATAAAAATGGGTCAATTCGGGCTGAAAATGCTTACTCGGGGGTTTTCGGGGTCGCTGATAACGAATCCGGTTTCACTTTTAAGAAAAAGAAAATGGCCGACCTAAAATGGCGGATAAATTTTTCTAAAAACGTGTCAATTCGGGCTGAAAATGCTTACTCGGGGGTTTTCGGGGTCGCTGATAACGAATTTGGTTTCACTTTTAAGAAAAAGAAAATGGCCGAAAATTTTAATAATAATAATTTTTTGCTCTTCAACATTTTTAATCAATAAAAATTTAAATTTTCTCTTTCTAATTAAGTGAATAAAGTAATAGAAAAAAAATAATTCAGTGCTCTATGTACTTAAATGCATAATTAAAAAATTGAATGTTTTATAACCTACACTTATAGCCAACATCACATTACTTAAACATGTATTAAAACATGAAAATATCATGAAATAAACAAATAAATATGATTAGAATATAGTTCAATACATACAGGACAAGTTTCTATGCTTTAGAAACATTATTATCAATTCTACAAGAAGATACAAACACTTTCAAGTTACACAGAAATTGCATCCATACTTACCACGTTCCGTCAACTTGTGAAGAAAGTACATTATGGTAAAGACTAACAATAAGTGAAACTTTTGGACTTTTAAAATAAGCCAAAATGTTTGTCAATATATAGTCTAATGATATACCAAATTGCAGAATTTTAAAATAAAATTTCATTTTTTGTTTTTTTAGCTATAAAATGGCTTTCCTGCCCCACTGTGCGGCGTCTATTTTCGAATAGCCAATTACATTTAAATTATTTTCTAAGGACGGAGATATTTTTCTCTCTCTAATTCCGTTTCTAACGTTCGCCAAGAACAATGCCATTGTCTACCTGTCAATCATTTTTCTCTAACTGATTTTCATTTTCTAAAATCTTTAATTTCTCAAAAAATAATAATTTTAAAATTATTTAACTTTTACCATTAATTTTTAAATAATTTTTATTTTAATATAACATATAATTTTATTTAATTATTAATTTCAGCAATTTTTTAAAATAATTTTTATTATTTTACTTTCTAAATAATAAAAAAAAGAAATATAAAATAACTTTATTTTTTAAATAATAATCTATAAAAATTCTTATTTGAAAAAAAAACCTTAA